GGAGGATAATCTGCCTCCCATCCCTCTGCTTTTGACACTGCCCACGTGGGCAGGTGCCTAACGGAGGAGATTAGTCTGCCCTGAAGTGTTAGGTACTCAGCACCGCCAGAGGCGGCTTCGCAGAGCTGGGATCTTGATCCAGGCTGAGGTTCTCCAGTTCAAAGACTGCAGGATTTTACAGCTCAGAGACAGCCTGCCAGCACACCAGCAGATCTCATGGAGCAATTTTGGATTTGCTTGATGATGTTATTGTATCAAGGGCCTACCATCTAGAAACAGTGATTGTTTTAGGGAATTAAAAGATAAAAATAATAATAAAAAAGTTTATGTTAAAATTCCATGCCAATAAGAAAGAGAAATCACAATATCTCACATAGGGCAAATATAGAATAGAATCAAGTACTGTTCTTACAACTGGTGATAGTTTTTAACCCATATAAGCCAAGATACGGCTGGGGATTTCAGGCTTAGCTTCTCTATTATTTGGAAACAAAGCACAATCTTATCAGACTGCAGGAAAGATGCACTTATTGAAAGACACAGTTGGATCAGAGGGTCCAAGAGCAGTTAGGGCCGAGATGGTGAATGTGCCACATGTGCACGCTCGAAAACAACAGCGCAGGAAAGCTCAGTACGGTTGAATTCCTGGGGTGAGAACCCTTAATAATGTTACTGCTCTGTCTACATGCAGCGCTTTTAACATTCCCAGTTCTCTGCAAACTCGCCCGTTTCACCACGATTCTCTGACACTGCAAAGCCGTTCCTATTCCCACTAATGAGACAGGAAACAGAAGATAAATACCTTGTCCAGAACCATTCCGCAAGCCAGAATACAGTCAAAATTTAGCTCTTAAAATACAAAAAAGATAGAAAATTTTACCATACTTTTTCCAAATCAGTAAGACAATGGGTCATCTTAGGTTTTTTTCATCTTGTTGCGCATTGTAGATGGGATTAGCAAAATCTAGACAAAACACTGAGTGAATATCCTTTTACCATAAGCTTGGTTCCTCTCCAAACATTGTAGTTTAATCCACCAGGTACATCATAAAGCCCCAAGAAAGCCAAATCTGATCTTCTTGGTACCATTTCAGCTCTAAAAGGTACCAGCCAATATTCTGCAGCTTCAAAGAGAATTTGTAGAAAGCTTTTAAAAGTGAACTTGTCTGTACGCTTATTCAATAGAATTTTTATGTCCAAGGAAAATTTAGATTTATCGCCCGAGTAGTATAGAACACTTCTTAAGAGTAGTGATCAACTGGATCCCACTTTCCCTCACTCTGCCCCCTTGGGACGACTTTCCCATTGAAACTCCACCAAAGCCTTGGAGGGCCTTGCCAGACCCCAGGCATCCCTCAGCCTGCAGGATGCCGCGCTCTTCTCCGCTCTTCTCCGGGGAGCTGCTTGCCCAGCATGTGCAGCGGGAGTTCTGCAGCGAAGGGAACGTGCAGCATTCTGCCGTCTCGAGGCCTCTCGTTTTATGACCTAAATTTCACACATACATAATTGATACCACTTATATAATTGATGCAGCTTACATTGACAGCATCAATACTGGAAGAGGAGAATTCCCAGTTTTCTCTCCCACCACTGAAGCTTGGTCAAATGGAAAATGGAGCAGGAAGAGGCCCTGGTGAATTGACTGTGTGACACGAATCGGGCTATCAGCTAGCAAGACAAAGTTGTCTCTTGTGCGTTGTTCCCAAGGGGGGGAAGCAGGAGCTCCCTCTTGCACACAGCTTCTTTCCTGGTGCAGATGGCTCCTGCCCACCATGCTGCTCTCCAGCAGACCATCCCCATCCTCGCCTTGCCCGTGCTCTCCCTCTTCCTCCCAGGTGAAGGGCCAGCATGGGAGGGAATTGAGCAGAAGCGTTCCCAGGATCAGCACACGGGATCCATCCCGACTGAGCTGCCCACAGGATTTACCAGACTCCCAATATCACACAGAGAGGGTGACAGATGTCAAGCGCTGGGGACAGAGCCAGGGTAAAAGCAGGTGAGTGCAAAAGGGCCGAGGATGATCCCCTCTGGAGAGGACAGCGGGCTGTGAACACACCACCACCATTATCAGGTGGGAGAGGCTAATGATGAGTGCAGGGAACGGCTCTCAGCTACGTTAATTATGGAAGAGCAGCAGCATTAGCAGGCGAGGACTCGTGAATCACCGAGCCTTTCCAGCTCCAAAACACGGGACAACTCCCTGCCTCTGTTCTACCAAACATGCATCGGCAATTATCCCTGGAATTCACCTGCGGAACTGCGCCGCTTGGACACGATCCGGTGATCCTCCACTGGCACCGGCTGCACAGAACAAACACACCAAAATTAGGACATTATTTTTTAGCTTTAGATTCTCTCTGTCCTTGGCACTAGCTACGTAAGGCACGCTCAGAAAAACAGGACTTTCTTTCTAGCGCTGAATTTGTTTCCCCTACTCTGCATATCTGTTTTCAAATGTGACCAAGGGCTTTCCTTACTTTTTGTCAGGGCCTTTCAATTTTTTGTCTTTTTCCTAAAAACTCACCCAAGGGAGAGAGGCAAACGGGACTCCACCATTCAGTAGGAAGCGCCGCTCACAGCTGCAGAGGGAGCTTGAAAACCCTAAAGCTTCGGAAACAACACTGGGACCTGCCACCTCAGAATGCAGGGCAATTTTGAACAAAAAACATATTTATCGATGGGGGAAAATCACCCGAAAAGCACCTGGGGTTGCATTTCTGGAGGCGGCTGCGGCGCTCGGCTCCCGCGGGCCGCTCTGCGCGGTACCCATTGCGACGAGCCCCTTTCCCTGGGCTGCCTTCGGAACAAACCAGCCCCGTCTTGCAGCCCCGCTCTGTTTGCGTGAACCACACACGCTCGTCAGCAACCCTGGGATTGTTTTTATTACCCCGATTAACCAGAGCACCCATAATTAGTCTTACACAGCGCCCAGCCCTCGGCGTGCCGGGGCCGCACAGGCACAGAAGGTGTATTGTTTCAAGGGGTTTACAGCCTAATATACAGGCTAAGTATGTTCAACTGTACAAATTAAGGACCAGAAGCAGGTGCTCATTCTCAGCAGTAATGCCAGGCGCTCCGTAGCGCTTCCCAAACCCATCAGCATGACCAAAAAACTCACTTTGGGAGAGTTTCACAGTCATTAGTACTTTCTTGTATGTGCTTTATCACAGGTGCACTTTAATGCTGTGTTGCTTTCTATGCTGAAGTCTAAGGCAGTAGTTTTTTAGAAACGCTGAAAGTCCTCTTCCATCCCTCCCAGAATGAACAGGATTTTTTTTTTTTTTTTTAACCATTTTGCGATCACGAAGCATAACAACCACGAGCTCATTATACATATATATAGAGAGAGAGGGGGAGAGATCTATTTGAACGCGTAAAAACACGGTTCCGGGCTTACACTCGGTGTCCCGCTTTAACGCCCCTCAGCCGCCTCAGCGCCAACGGTCGCCGCCCGCGCGCCAACCGCCGCCCGCCAACGGTCGCCGCCCGCGCGCCAACGGCC